TATGGTTTACCACTTTGTAAGCCATGTCCTGGAAGAAAATTTTCCTGTCCTGGAAGAAACTTCCTTTGCCCTCTGCCAGTAGTTTTCAGCAACCTTGCTTGGCTTTATTTTTTTAAGCTTTTTAGATTTGGAGGGAGGAGGAGGGGTGACGCTTGAAAGTGCTCAGGGGTTACTCCCGATTCTGTGCTCAGGAATCATTTCTGGTCAGCTCAGGGTGCCCGGGCTTGAACCCGGGTCGACCGTACATATGCATGGCAAGTGTGCAGTCCTGGGTTTGATTCCCAGCATGGCAAAAAGATACAAAAGAAGAAGTCATCAAGAACTCAATATGAGGGCTGGAGCGATAGCACAGAGGGTAGGGCGTTTGCCTTGTACACAGCCGACCCAGGTTCGATTCCCAGCATCCTATATGGTCCCCTGAGCACCGCCAGGAGTAATTCCTGAGTGCATGAGTCAAATCAGGAGTAAGCCCCCTGTGCATAGCCGGGTGAGACCCAAAAAGGAAAAAAATCAGGAGTAAACCCCCTGTGCATAGCCGGGTGAGACCCAAAAAGGAAAAAAAAATTCAGTATGGTAGCTGTTAGCCACAATGTTATTGAAATAAGAGTCTAAATTAATTACAAAAGTTTTAGATTTTATAAAAAAAAAAAAGTCTGGAGAGATAGCCCAGAGGGTTAAGGCCACAGTCAAGTATGAGTCACCAATGGTGTAACACATCGATGTCCACACTAACAGGGAGAGGCAGGGAGGAAGCAGACTTGAATAGTAGTCTTGATGAAGTCGAAAATGCAGCTACGGGCAGCAGAGACCAAAGTGTTAGGGCATATGTTGTGCATGCCAGAGGCCCCAGCACCATTAGGAGCCACCTTGCCCTACACACTGGGATAAACCACTGAAAACTGCCAAAACAGCCCCAGCACCCTCCCCCCCTTCCCCCCACCTCTTCACCCCCCCCCACACACACACACTCAACGCACACACGCAATGAAAATTCATCTACATTCTTTGTAGTCCAAGCCAAGTCTCACCAATCAAATCTCCCAGAGGCTGGAAGCAATCATGTAAAGAAAAGGAAGCCCACAGGGATAGATAACAGAGTCTCTATTCAAATTAGCCTTTAAAATAAAGAAATTAGGGGCCAGAGATTCAGCTCAGCACTTGCCTGGCACATGTGAATGACCCTGGGTTTGATCTTTGCCACTGCAGAAAAATACGGATAAATTTCTTTTACATAGTAATAGGAAACCTGGAGATAGGAAGCTCAGGGTTGGTTGGTTCAGGGCTCAACAGTGCCCAGGAGGCCCCAGGTTCTTTCCAGCCCTCAGCACGGCCACCCTGGGCATGGGTATCCTTCCGAGGCTGATGGGCAGGCAGGTACTGCCCAGCCCCATGTCCCACAGGGGAGGAAAAGAAGAAAAGAAAGTCACAGGGGAGGAGAGGGAACTACCTGATTATGTAAGATGGGGCATCTGCAGCAGATGCAACAGGAAATCCAGTGGGACCCACAAGTGCCAAGGTTTCCCAGCTCCAAATCTCCAGCCCCAATTCAGCCTCGAATATTAACAATTCTTCCAAGCTGCACCAAATGCAGACGCCTTTCTGCTCTGTTACCGAACCATCAGTTAATGCCTTAAAAGTGGCCGTGACTAAGGGGAATCATACGGAACAGGGAATGCTTCCAGAATGGGCAGCGAAAACCCAGACGAGCTAGGGGGCTTTACCAAAGTTCAGTTCTGTACCTCACAGCCCTGCTTAAAACCTGCCTTCACCTACTCATCTCGAAACTCCCTCTTTGCCAGTAAGAGTTAATCTCCACAGCCGCCCCCAGCTGAAGAAACACTGTTTTAATTTTAAATTTAGCAATATCCATACATTTATGATTTACAATGTAAATGCTATGGATTCTGAGAAATCTGGAATCCTTCAACCAATCAGTTATGCTTTCATTTTTTCCTCCTGCTATATAGACCCTGCAGTGTTAGAACTGTATTGAATGAGGTCACAGTCTAACTACAGTATTAACCCTGCAAATCTGTTCATTTTTCACCTGGGCACCCTGAGGCAAGATATAGAATGTGTCCGATTGAAAAACTATTACAGAGGGTGCAGTGCTATGATGGGCTGAATTGTGAAAGACAGGGAGGGCAATGGGAGTATATGTGGTTGTGGATATGGGTGTGTGTGGTGTGTGTGTGTAGTGTGTGTGTGTGTATGTGTGTGTGTGTCCAGGAAATAATTTTTAAACAGAAGTTCATGAGCTTTGGGAAGATAACTCAAAGGGTCAGAACACTTCTTTGCATATGGGAGACCGGGGTTTGATCTCTGACACTGTATGGTTCCCTGAGCATCACTGGGTGTGGCCCCAAACCAAAACATAGTAATGATAAGAAGTCAGGTAGACTGTATGTCTTACAAGTAGAAGTTGTATATATTAACAGAAAAATGTGTTTCCTCTCATTCAATTTTTAGAGTACTGTCAGTGTCTCTGAACCTTAACTGGGCTGTGTTTACCAGCATTCGTGCCTTTGTTTTGAAGTTTTCTTCCCTGTTTGATACCTCTAAAAGTTCTTTCTGTGTGTCACAAAGCCTTGTTGTGCCCTTTAATGTTTGCATTATTAAAAACATACAGGCAAAATAAAGGATAATACAGTGATTGGTTACCCATGAACACAGCACCCAACTTTAGAAGTGGAACGTTAACTTTTTCTCCAACTCTGCCGGGCTTTGTGTAATTCAGCATGGAGAAGAACACAACACAGATGGTCAGCCGAGGCCCAACCACCAGCCCATTCGAAATGGATGTGGCTTCTGAAAGACTCACATTCAGTCCTGCCTGGGCGTGGGCTAACGCTAAGTAGTCAAACAGTTAAGCCCCAGGGAGTTCCTAAAGCTGTTTCAGATCATAAAATCTATGATGTTTTGCAAATTTATATTTGACCACGCTGGGTTTTATGTGCAAAAACTCAATGATTCTCCCCTTATCATCTCATCAAAGGCATTCTTCATACTCCCACCCTTATGCTGTGTCACTGGCTCCACCGCACATTGTTTGCCTGTTTGACAAACACTCTGGCTAAAGGATCAACCTGAGACTCTCCCTGTGGCCCGATGCTCGTGGGATCCCGGCCAGAGTGCAATTCTTCAACCAGGGACTCTGATTGCGTGACCCATGAGGAAAGCCAGAATCTTGACTTGCCTTAGCTGTGGTTTGGTATCTAATTGGAAAGCAATCAACCATGTTTGGATTGTGCTGGAAATATTTATATTGCGTCAGGGGAAGGACATCCTATTGCATTTTCTCAAGAGTGCAGTTTCTTCAGCGTGATCCTGCTGTCCCCACCGAGAGTTTCGTGCGTGCTGTGCTCGCAAGACCACCGCACACTTCTCCCTATCACACCGCCCTGAGAAGCCCCACTTCCTCCAGCAGCTAGAAGGACAGTAGCACACTTGCATATGGCACTCTCTTGTCAAAGCCTCCCCGGATCTCCATCCTCTAGGCAGAAGAGCAGGGGGCCAATGGGTAGAGGGTGTGTGTGTGTGTGTGTGTGTGTGTGTGTGTGTGTGTGTGTGTGTTCTCACTTAATTGATAGGTACATTGATGGTTCCTGTTTACAAGGTATGAATGCATGGCTCAAACGTCTGTGACTTCTGTTTTCCAGGTTTGAAAAGCAGAGACCAGATGGGGGAGATAGTACAGAAGTTAAGGCACTTGCCATGCATGTGGCCAACCCCTAGTGTGGTCCCCAGCAAGCACTGCATATGGTCCCCTGAATGTTTCCAGGAGTGGCCCATGAGCACAGAGCCAGGAGTCTGCATTGAGTACCTCTGGGTGTGGACCCAAAACCCAAGAGAGAGAGAGAGAGAGAAAAGAAAAGCAGAGATTGATGAGCACATTCTGCAAAGCAGAAGAGCTAAATGTTATTCTAACTGTGTAGCTGTGAGAGAGTTTTTTGAGAGAATGAGACCGCAGCCCACATATTTTCTCTGGACGTGGGTTGTTTTAAGTGTTGATTATCTTTTCATCTGGAATGAATCGCTCTGCTCCACATTTACCAGTTATTAAATGCAAGGAGTCATACTAAGGCCAACAAACAGCACAGCTAGCCCCGAGAGTCCATGAAATGGGGGGGGGGGGGGGGTGTCATTGCCAGAGGAGAGGGGAGGGGTGGTGGGAGGGATGCACAGAGGTGGGGGGGGTTGCATGACAGTGACACACATGCATAAAGCTACCCAAAATTCCACAGTATTGTAAGCCACAGTCACAGTCAGTCACAGTCCTCCCGTTATTCATCGATTTGCTCGAGCGGGCCCAGTAACGTCTCTATCGTGAGACTTGATGTTACTGTGTTTGGCATATCGAATACATCCCGGGGAGCTTGCCAGGCTTTGCCGTGTGGGCGAGATACTCTTGGTAGCTTGCCGGGCTCTCCTAGAGGGGTAGAGGAATCGAACTCGGGTTGGCCATGTTGGCTGCGTGCAAGGCAAATGCCCTACCGCTGTACTATCGCTCCAGCCAATGAAAAAAAAATTTAATAATAAAAGGAACTAGAGAGATACACAGCAGGTAAGGCACTTGCCTTGCACACAGCTGACCCTGACCCAAGATTCTATCCCAGCACCTCAGATGGTGCCCTGAGCACCTCCAGGAGTGACCCCTGAGCATCGCCAGGTGGGTGACCCAAAAACAAACAACACCACCAAAAACTAGAAAAAAATAAAGCAAAACATGGAAATAAAATAAAAATAAAAGTTAACAAACTGGTGTGTGAAGGGAATATCAGTTTTCAGCTCCTTGAGTCTGAGCATGGGACATTTTCTCAGTTACAGGATTAATTTTTTTTCCTGATCCGCATTACAACAGTGAAAGCTGGCTGATTTTCCAGATTTTATTGCAAAATGAGTACCAGCACTCGCTAGTCACTTATTCTTTATGCTGTTATGTTTCCTTTCTCTCCGCGGTAAAAAAGAAAACTTGTCTAAACTTGCTTATCTCTCTGTAGGACAGTCGGCCCAATATGTCAAGACCTCTGATTACTAGATCTCCTGCATCTCCACTGAACAACCAAGGCATTCCTACTCCAGCACAGCTCACAAAATCCAATGCGCCCGTCCACATTGATGTGGGCGGCCATATGTACACCAGCAGCCTGGCCACCCTCACCAAATATCCCGAATCAAGGTAATTCGCCAAACAGAAAACTCACCCTCACAAGTGCATGATGTGATGATGATCTAACGGTTTTCCCTCTGACCAGCGGGACCAAGTTAGCACAGCTGCTCTTTGACATGGCTGTAAATCCACCAGCCAGGGGTCATTTCTCGACTGGGTCAAGGAGTTGGAAAATTAGCCAGCAAGACCTGGGTTTTGGGGGCTGGGGCAATAGTACTGCACACAGCCCACCTGTGTTGGATCCCCAGCATCTCAAATGGTCCCCCAGCACCACCAGGAGTAATTCCTGTGTACAGAGCTGGGAGTATCACTGGATGTGACCCAAAAAGGGGGAAAAAAAACCCCTGAAATTCTGTGAGTTTTTTACTCTGCAGAGATCTTCACATTCCTTGGTCTAGTGCTCGAGCTCGAGCGGGCCCAGTAACGTCTCCATTGGAGACTTTGTTGTTACTGTGTCTGGCATATCGAATACTCTCGGTAGCTTGCCGGGCTCTCCGAGAGGGGCGGAGGAATCGAACTCGGGTCGGCCATGTTGGCCGCTTGTAAGGCGAACGCCCTACCCGCTGTGCTATCGCCATAGCACAGCGGTAGGGCATTTGCCTTGCACGCAGCCAACATGGCCGACCTGGTCTAGTGCAAAAAAAAAAAAAAAAAGGAAAGAAAAGAAAAGGAATTGGAGTCTTTCTTCTGATTCAAGGTTTCTTAGTAGTTCCTAGAGTTTAATGATTGACTGATTTATTTGTATTTGGGCCCCACCCAGCAGTGGTCAGGAGGCTATTCTTGGCTCTGTGCTGCAACCCAGAGCTCAGGTGCTTCCAGGGATCAAACTGGGATCTGCCACGTATGAAATAAGTGCCTTATGCTCTGTGCTGTCTCTTCAGTTTAGTTTTAGCTTTACAGGTGATCACTTTTATAGGTGACAGTTTTCTAGGTGATGACCAACTTGTGAACCAGAGTTAAAAATAATAAGAGATTCTCCAAACAGTGAGATGTTATATTTAGAACTCCAGAAAGCCATGATAGATTTGTTTTAAAAAAATGAATAAATAAAATAAAAAGGTCAGTGGAGCTTTTGGTGAAGGCAGATAAGACCAGAGAGACAGTACAGTGGGTAGGGCACTTGTCTTGCAGGCTGCTGACCCAGGTTTGATCCCCAGCACCCTGTATGGTCCCCCAGCCTGTCAGGAGTGATCTCTGAGCACAGAACCAGGAGTAAGCCCTGAGCAGGTGAAGAGGGACAGTACAAATAGGGAGTGCTGTACTTACCTCTACTTAAGTTTAAGTGTTTCTGCCTAAGAGCTTCCTGTAGTACTAGGGAAACCACTTGCTCTGCAGTCCAGGAGAGGCCTCCTGGTTCTGCCTAGACTTGGACTCCAGTACTTAGCTCCTGGAAGGGGATTCATTTTCTCACTTAAAATGAAAAAATAACTCTGAGGGAGGATGAGGAAAGAGGCAGGAGTTTACTTGAGCTGCTATGGGATTTGGGGAAAGAGGGTTTTTTTCTCCTTGTCTTTGCTGCTATGAAATGCCAACTTTACTGCTTAGGCTTCAGAAGGACATCAAGTTTCTTGAAGGAAGGACACCAAGCCTCTTACAGGGCAGAGCTAGTTCAAGTGATAGAACAGATACATAGCATGCAGGAAACCTAAACTGAACCCCTGGTACTAGGGAAAAAATAAGTGTGTGTGAAGTGTGAGTGTGTATGTGTGTATATGTGTGTGTGTTTGCAAAGTGACAGAGTGACAGATACCAGTTAGCTTAAAGTCCAAGCAGATATCATTGGCAGAGAATTGCTATCATCCTGAAAACTTTACGGAGGCTGTTTTTGCTTTTTTTTTTAAATTTAATATCACTTAACTGTCTGATATTTTATGAGAATATGTGCAGGTTGAGAAGATGAAATGTTTCACCTCTCAACTTCATTTCTCCAACTAAGATGAGATAGTTTTTAAAATTAGATTTATATAATTTTTGTTGTCAAAGTCTGTGCATTTTAAATGAGATGATCATATCAATGAATTACTCTATCATTGAATTCCCATCTTCCCTCACTGCATTGTAAGTGCAACAGAATCAAGTAATAAGATGACTATATTTCTTCAAAATATCATTATAGGAGTTGGAATGATAGCACAGCGGGTAGGGCGTTTGCCTTGCACACAGCCAACCCAGGTTCGATTCCCAGCATCCCATATGGTCCCCCAAGCACCACCAGGAGTAATACCTGAGTGCATGAACCAGGAGAAACTCCTGTGCATCACCAGGTATGACCCAAAAAGCAAAAAAAAAAAAAAAAAAGAATTATTATAGTAGTAACATTCTCTTTTTAAAAAACCCTATTTCCATTCCCTCTAACCTTCAGCTAATGCCAACATCAACAACAGAAAATCATTGTGCCTTTTCAGATGAAACGCTAGTTTTAGAGGCAAATAAAAAAAAAATAGTCGACCACAGCAAAATTCTCTGTCTAATCTCAAGGCCTTTTGCTACAATGTGATAAACTCCAAAGCAGAAGGGAAGTTTGTGAAGTTTGTAATTGCACCATCTGCTTATGAAGTAAGCAGGAGATTTTCTTCCATCCCAAGCAGCTGGGTGGGTCTCTTTCCCACTGATCACTGGCCCATGGGGCTTTGGCCTTTGTCCAGCTCCTTGCAATCCCTTAACCAGGCTGTGAGCTAGTTTATCCTGGTAGGGGATACAAGGCAAGAGGCTCTGCTCAATGCCTCCAGTCCTTGCACTGAAATCACTGGCCACTTTAATGAAAAATGTTTCATGTCTTTTGTGGGTGATTTTTTTTTTTTGGTGTTTGGGCCACACCCAGGGATACTCAGGGGTAACTCTTGGCTTTGCACTCAGGAATTACGCCTGGCAGTGCTCGAGGGACCATATGAAATGCCAGGGATGGAACCTGTATCTGCCATGTGCAAGGCAAACACACTACCCGCTATACTATCACTGTTATTAAAGGTCTTTGATGGCCACCTTCTAAGGTATTCTTTTTGTTTAGTTTTGGGACCACGTAATGCTCCAAGCCCATTCCTGGCACTTTGCTCAGGGATCAGCCCCAGCAGGGCTTAGGGAACATACGTGGTGCAGGGTATTGAAATGGGAACTGCCACATTCAAGATAAGAACCCTAAGCCCCTTGCTGACTCTTGGAATCCTCCGTGGGTGTTGCTAAGAGTTTGCTCTTTGCCCCTTTGTATCTGTGTAAAACATTCCATGCATCACAGCATTCCCCCCCCCCCCAAAATAAATCACACTCGCCACACTCAGCAAGTGTTTAAATTAGGGGCGTCTAAATAGAAATGACCTCTTATGTGTAAAACTGTAAACGATCTCAGTAATTTTTATTCTGATTTTAGAATGATGATATAGTCAGTAAAATATATCATTATAATTATTTTCACCTTTTTGTTTTTAACTTTTCTAATGTTGGTACTTGAAAACACAAATCACATGTCTTATTTTCATTTTATTTCTATGGAATAGTTCCCAGCCCATCACAGTCTTTTTTGGTTGGTTTTTTATTTTTCCCTCCTTAACAGCTCATGAAACCTAGTCCTTCCCCAGCTTGATACTTGTATGCATTGTAAATTGATTTTCACTTTCTCCTAGTTCATTAGAAGAGATAAAATTGTTTCTCCTCCTTCACAAACTGTCTTCAGTACCTTGGGCCACAGCATCACAGGAGCAACAGCAAAAATGATTTGTGGTTCATTAGTCCCCAGTCTGAATGCTGATGCTGCTGTTTGTTCATCTACTCGTTGTTTGGCCATGAATATGTCGAGATTCTAAGCACCTGTCTTCTCTCTTGTAAAATAGACACAGAAGATGTCTTCTTGCAAGGTTATTGAAAGGATTAAATATGATTATGAAAAGCACGCCATGGCCCAGTGCCCAAGGCATAGCATTGCTTTTATACTTAATCTCCTGCCAAGCCCAACAATTGTTTCTTTTCAGATTGCTTTCCAAATTCCAAATATATCCCATTCCTTCATTTCCTAGACCATGGAAACACCCTCACTTCTGGACTCTTGCCTGGATTACTACTCACTCAAGGAAGTTCTAGCCTGAACCTTCTGGTTCTTTATTTGCAATGCCCTCACCTGTCACAGAGCTGCTGAGCTGTTCCAACATTATATTTAGCATTAGGAGATATTTTTAACAATATGTAAAGGCTTTTTGAAATAAGCCTTTCAATGTAACTTTCCGTGTTTATCTTGAATGTGGAAACACTGGTTTCCATGTCCAATTGACCATTGTGTATTTCTTGCTCCCTCTTGGTTTTTACTTTTTGTATTTTTTTTTTTTTGGCAGGGGCTGGGGTGAGGGTGGAAGGGAAGGATGGGAGGAAATGGATATTCATATTAAATAGGAACCAGTTTATTTTATTTTATTTGTTGGTTTGGGGCCACTATCAGGTGTGCTCAGGGCTTACTCTTTGCTCTTCACTCAGGAATCACTCCTAGTGGTGTTCAGGGGCCCACCTGTGGTTCAGGGAATCAAACCTGGGTCAGCTATATATTAAGCAAGCGCCTTCCCCACTGTGCTTTCTGTTCAGCCCAGGAACCAGTTTAATGGAACTCATACAAAACATCTTAGTAGAGAATGGTGTGGGAATAGTTTTGCATATTTTTCTCATAGATGTCAGGTGTCCCAATTTCTGGAGGAAAAAAATCCTTTGCATATTATTAATCTTCTAAGATAAATCCTGAGACATTGGGTGGCTCTTAACTATAGAATTACAAATAAATGCATTTGTGTTCTCTAGATTCCAGGAGTACTTTTAAGTTTCCTCACCAGTGGAAATATCCCCTATGTTCTCTCCCACTTTAGAAACCCTTCTTCCTTTCTCGAACCTGCCCTCCATAGTAGATGGACCTATTTCTATTCCCACCATTTCATCATTTTCATTTCATCATCCTGTTATTCATCGATTGCCTCGAGCAGGCCCCAGTAACGTCTCTTTCATCCTAGCCCTGAGATTATATTCAAGGCTCTTTAGGA